CGTTTTTTTTTGCGGCGGAATTAGGGATTTTTGAAAAAAAAACACAGCAGCAGCACACATTGCTGTTGCGCAGCACCGTGCAGAGAGCGACAGCATGGCTTCCAGCCGCTTCCCCGCAGCCACAGACCAGTGGGAGAAGACGTCCATGCCCGTGTGCTATCCAGAGAAGAACACTGGCAAGTGGCGGTTGTTCCTCAACTTCACAAAGCGGAAGGGAGAGAAGGCGAAAATACAGCTGAGTTCACGGTTTGCTTCTCGAGAGGCAGTNCATGCCCGTGTGCTATCCAGAGAAGAACACTGGCAAGTGGCGGTTGTTCCTCAACTTCACAAAGCGGAAGGGAGACAAGGCGAAAAGGCAGCAGAGTTCAAGGTTTGCTTCTCGAGAGGCAGCGCTTGCCGGCGTCTTGGACTTCAGGACAGGCTGGGAGTACAGCCATCGCGGCAAGCTCTACAAGCGCACGATGAGAGATCCAGTCCCATCGTCAGCAGCTGTGGTGGCAGCGACTGCGCTTCCAGCAGGCAAGTCGTAAATTGGGTACACACACAATCATGTTTCTCAACACTCAAATCTGTGCTGTTCGTAGCAGCAGGCTGCGGACATCGGNGAGGGGGAGCAACATATTTGGAAGCTTGCAACGAGTGCCACCTCTTGTGAAAGGTTGCTGGTGTCCAAACCTTGATTTTTTTTTTTTGTTCGCAAAGGTTTTTTTTTCGTCTTCCACAAACAAACCGCGTCCGCCCTGCTGCTGCTGCTGCTGCTGCTGCTGCTGCTGCTGCTGCTGCTGCTGCCGCGGCAGCGGCGACGGCGGCGACGGCGGCCAGTATCTGTACGTGAGGGTACTACTTGCATCTCTCGAAAGTACTCATGTTCACCACACCGTATCGCGATAATTTTGTTTTCCCAATATGTACNGGAACTACTTGCAGCTCTCGAAAGTTCTGAAAACTACACCGTATCGCGATAATTTTGTTTTCCCCGTATGTAGCATTTTCCATATTTTCCGGTTCAAAGTGCACCGGGTGCAACGAGCTGAGCTGACACAACATTGTCACGTACAAGACTGCGCGTGTCATGTGCTGGCTTGCCGGTCCCGATGTTGCACTCACCGGTGCTACAAGCGGTGTTTGAACGCACCATTCACACCTGTATGCACTCCTCAACTGCTGTCTATTTAAGCCTCTATGCCTACTGCTGTGCGGGCGCAGCTCCCTGAGGGGCCTTACAGGTGCTCGTCACAAGTGTAATCAGTCGACCAAATTTCAAATTTCCACATGCACGTGCTTCGCGATCTTCACATATTGACAGTACCGGACCCAGGCAGCACTACAGCAGGAGTCATAGTTTTGTTTTAGTAATTCATCCTTGTGTATTCTCTGCATATACTGCTGCCGTGATGCGTTGCTGCGGGCCGATCACACTCCCTGCACGAATACAAAGCCCCTGTAGGCGCTCTCACAAGTGTAATCAGTCGACCAAATTTCCACATGCACGTGGTTCGTCATCATCACATATTGACAGTACCGGACCCAGGCGATACTACAGCAGTAGATATGGTTTTGTTTTAGTACTTTATCTTCGTGTGCGTTCTGCATAAACTCTGCTACAGTACAATAGTGCCCTGCTGCGAGCCAAAAACACTCCCTGCACGAATACAAATACAGTCGACATCTGTGCTCGCGATCCCCTTCAACTGATCCAAACATCCATGCACCACGCCGCGTGTTACTTCATCTGCTTATTCCTTGAAAAAAATACGGGCTGCACTGCCAATACGCACATCAACATATACCGGGGGCGGGATCAGATAGGGCTCGCTGTGCTTTGCAGTGATCTTTTCCTGTCAAACTTCGCTGCTGCTGTCGTATAAAAATGTTTCACACGAGCTGCCGCCTCCACCCGAAATCCCAATTCCACACAGGAAAATCGCGCAACAGCCTCGGCAAGCTAAACGCCGTGGAGGAAAGGAAGTTCAAGTGACAGCGGCTGGTCGGTTCGGACGCGACCCGCGCAGGCTTCACGCTAGAGTCGACGCTTTCCAGGCGCGAGAGGCGTTCGGTGGCCCGGGGCTGGAGCAAGAGGGAAGNCTCGACCCGAAATCCCAATTTCACACAGGAAAATCGCGCAACAGCCTCGGCAAGCTAAACGCCGTGGAGGAAAGGAATTTCAAGCGACAGCGGCTGGCAGGTTCGGACGCGACCCGCGCAGGCTTCACGCTAGAGTCGACGCTTTCCAGGCGCGAGAGACGTTCGGTGGCCCGGGGCTGGAGCAAGAGGGAAGGAAAGCTTCGACGGGACTTCGACAAGCGGGGCTCCTATCTCGGCAACCGGATCTACGAGCTGACATCGCAGATCGGTAGCAACGAGCAGCACATTCGGCGTATTGAGGATGCTATGGCGGAGCAAGACCTCGCGAGTCTTCTCGCCCCTCTCCCCCCCTCGCCCATCGAAGGAAATGCAGACGTGGACGCACGGGCGTGTACCGAGGGCGAGGACAACCAGTCCAAGGAGGAAGTGTCCGCCACCCAAGCAAACCGCTTGTGGTATCAAGGGCACTCGGCGTTGACGGTGTTGAAGGAGGAGCGGAAGCGCGACCTGCGGCAACTGCAACTCACGCAGCAGGCGAAGAGCTTGTCCGATGAGTCGTACACGACGATCCCAGCGGTGAAGGCAGCAGAGGCCAAACGGTTTGAGGTGTTGATTGAGGCCTCGCGTCGTCGACACGAGTCGTCGCTCTTGCGGATCGCGGCGAGAGTAAACTCCGCTGGCTCACGGGTTTACGCGGCATCGACAATCCTGGGGTGGCTCAGGGACTTTCGGGGGCACGGTGGTTTCAAGCGAGATTCAAGGGGGGTGCACGAGAGGGACTGGATCATGTCGGAAGAGGACCTCAAGGATGAGCTCATCAAGTGGATGAGGAGACAGAAGCGCCTTACGGTCAAGGACGTCCAGAACTACATCAACCAGTGGCTGTTCGCGAACGAGATCGGGGATTTATCCAGACTCCTTTCGTACCAGGTGAACCTTCCCGTGTCCATGGCAACAACCCACTCCTGGATCATCGCGCTGGGGTGCAAGTACGAGCGGGCTACGAAGTCTTTCTACACGGACGGCCACTAGAGGAAGGACGTGGTGGTGTGCCGCGGCAAGTACATCGACGTGAAGCGGAAGCTTGCCCTTCGGCAACCGTTGTGGGTGCGAGTTCAACGAGACACTCTGACGCCGGAGGAGCTTCAGCGGCTTGACGGCATCAAAGGTCCGGCAAAGGATTTCTGCGCAGAGGTTTACGATTGCGTGGTAGAGGGGCGCGAGTGCATCGAGTTCCACGTCGATCTCCTGCGGGACAACGGCTCCGTCGATCGATTCGACGATCTCCGTGCTGAACTTGGACCGGAAGGGGGGCACTTCAGCGTCCGCTTCGAAGAAGCTGCTGCTCTTCCATGCGAGCATTTTCACACCCCGGCCAAGTGCAAATGCAACAGGAAGGTGCGCCACATCGGACAGGACGAGAGTGTCTACAAGGCGTATGCACGCGAGGGCAAGGAGTGGGTTGTCCAAGGGGTACGCGGGTTACGAAAAAAACCGAGGGTCCGGGAGAGATGGTGTCTGCCTTTCAAGATGAGAGGCACGGCTTTGGCTTGCCGTTGACGGACGACGTGCTCCAGGCGGTGAACGCGCGTCGCAAGGAGAAGGGCAAGGAAGACCTGACACGAAGCCCTGGTGTGCGGTTTCTCCAGTACGGGAAGCACAAGGATGGATACTGGGGATTCGACGAGTTCAAGGAACAGATCGAGGACGTTTTGGACGGACGTCTTCGAACCCGATATGCAAGTGGTGGTTGAGATCGACCACTCTTCGGGGCACACAAGGCAGCGGGAGGATAGATTGCATGTGGGGAACATGAATGTCAAGTACGGGGGGAAGCAAAAGGTGTTGCGGGATACAGTCATGACAGAGGGGTGTTTGGGACCGGAAGAGGCGAAGATGTACCTCTCCAACGGTAAGTGGAGCACGGAGTTCACCGAGGGGGCAGAGGTCTACGACATGAAGCTCAAGGTTGGCGACACACAGACCAGCACGTTTGCGGCAGGTTCTCCACCTCCCTTTTACGAGTGGGATGCGCCGCGCAGAGGTGTGAAGGTCGCGCGCAAGGCTAAGCGCAAGCGCAAAGCGGGAGCGGGGGTTGGCGCAGGCGATGAAGGGGCGGCTGATGGGGCTGGAACAAAGCCTAGGGATAAGATTAAGGAAGGGTACGAAGGGAAGGCAAAGGGCTCCAAGCAGTACCTGTGGGAACGGGGATGGTGGAAAGAGGGGATGAATGCTTCAGTGGGGATCGCTGACGAGAAGAACATCGAGAAAGTCTTGCAGGCACTGACGGATTTTGAGAGTGAGAGGACGGCGCTGCAGTCCTTGGTCGAGAGCAGGGGACACATACTTTTGTTGTCTGTGTCACCCAGAGGTAGCGGGGGTAGGGATCGAGTACTCGTGGGGGTTTTCCAAGCAGAGGTTTCGGCGGAAGTACAACGACGAAGTCCCGAAGAACTTGCACGCCAACATCGGAAAATCGATGTGCAGGGAAAAGCATTTGGCGATCGGTCAGGTGCGACGCTTCGCCCGGCGTACACGAGACTACTGCCGAGCTTACCGCGAAATACAGCTGGGTGCGGTAGACAGCCAGGGTCTACAGCTGGTCGGGAAAATGCGCGACACCCAAAAGGCTGGACATGGAGCCCGGTTTCCTTGGCAAGCAGTGACCTTGGCCGGCCGGCCGGAAGGGGGGGGGGTACATTGTACAGTAGAGAGTTACATACATATGTTGTTGAAGATTGCATAGTTGGATATTTTACACAGCGTGGGTGTTGTGTTGGCTTTGTATTACAGGTTTAGCATAGGTGTGGTTATGTGCAATATATCGTGCGGTGCTGCCGTAGAAACCTGCTTTTTTTCCGGTCGAGTTGAGACATATTTGTTCGAGTTAGTGCACGCGCATTTTGGCATCGTGAGCTTTTTATTCATGTTTCACATCATCACGCCCAGTGGGTACAACTCATGTACGTCATGGGCTGGTAGGCAGCGCCAGTGTGGTTTCTGCCAACTACACCGCTTTCGCACACGTCTCTACGGTCCCTAGACCCCTCATTTTCCTATATAAATGGTGTGCCCCTGCACCCAGGTTCTGAGGCCGGAACGAAATTCTGGATTTCCCGGGCGGGTTTTACGAATCAGAACCTGAAATTTTGAGACGGCATCTGCATGAGTACAACAAACAAAAGAAGCCACTGCGCCATTTGGATTTGTTTTTTTTAGTCACTTTGTCCCAAAACAAGTATTTCCATATTTACAACAGTAGGGGTAACTCATGAAAAAAAAAAAAATCCAAATGGCGCAGTGGCTTTTTTTTTTTTTTACTCATGCAGATGCCGTCTTAATATTTCAGGTTCTTATTCGAAAAAACCGCGCGGGAAATCCGGTCCGACCGTGAAATACGCGTCTTGGCTGGACCAGCTTGTAGGAAACATAAATACAAACACAGAAAACTTCTAATAGGCACTCGCTCGGCACTCTCCAACACTGAGAATATGCCTTGCAAGAGTGTCCCAGTTGTCCCTCACATATCTTACCATAACTTTCGCAAATGAACACACGGGCTGAATATCGGCGGCAACTCTTGTGGTTGGTACTCTGAAGATTTTTTGTTTGTCTCACGCGCTCACAGCACTCCGTCGTGCCGTTTACTCCAACCCGTGGTCAAACAGAAAGGCCCCTCTCTACCCTCCGCTCCTGCGGTAATGTGCCTTCGATTTTTAATGCGAGAAGTGTTCAGCACCCTCTTCCGTCTGTGTACACACGAGCTGGCGCTATTCGCTAGGCCAGGAGTGGAAGCGAGAGAACAACTGACTTTGCAAGAAAAGCTTGCATACGCCTGGGTTCGAACCCCTGACCAGACCTCTAGAAGGTTTCGAACCGACTAGACCACATGGAAGGGTACGTACTTCCATCTGAATATCCGAATTTGGGAGGGTGCGTACTTCTATCCGAATATCCGAATGTCACCGCGGGAATTTCGAAGTGTGCCAACGGAGCATGAGCAAGAACAACATTTCGAAATATCCATTCAAACAGCATTCATTGTCGTTGTTTATGTTGATATTGGTGGTTGTGTGGTGGTGGTGGTGGCGGTGGTGGTGTAATTGTGTTCCTATTTTTCTCCTTTGCTTTTCTGTGCATTGGTCATCACTGCTGTCTTTCATCAACAACTGCTACACGGCAGCCTATCAACCTGGCGATGAAGTACCATGTGTCGGTGTGAGGCTTTGCCATGCGCTGTCACCGGTCTGCCTATCCTACTAGGGGAGCACCAAAACGATACCGCGCGGTTGGTCTCTCGTCTGTTCGCCGCCAACTGTCTCGTCCGACTGCTTTCCAGCGTCCTTAATCTCGTCCATTGATGAAGATGGGTTTTCTCAAAGTATTTTACCGCCGGAATCTACAGTAGGCTATGTAAACCACAACAAACGAGGTC